AAAGTTGAAAGTATTTTAATCGAAATAAATTGCAAATAAAGTAGTGCGAATTTTTATATCTAAAGCTTTTAAGCCTTCTAAGTAAGATTGCTCATTGCTTCCTCTAAATTAGCTTACTATTTTTACTAAACTATTATTAACATATAGAACATACTTTAGTTTAAATCATATTTTGACTACAATAGATAAAATACGAGAACAAACGTTTAATGCTTATTCTTTGAAGTAAGCTTTGCGTCAAATATTCAAATTTATTGAATTTTATTGAGTTTTATTGACACCAGTTTGATATCAGAAATTCGTATTACCTTTTAATTAATTAAATAAATGGCTACTACTTAAAATTGGCTGTATAAAGCTCAAGATGTTTTTTAAGCTTTGAACAACTGCCACTTCCTGCTAACATTTTTGTAAAATGATTCAGTGCTAGCATTTCAAAATTTAATCATTTTCACTTATAAATTGTCTTTTTTGAATTTTCGCTCAACCAAAAATGATTTTTAATCAAAAAACTTTCAGAGTATAGTAGTGTAAATAGCACTAGAGATCCATTAATATTGCTTGGAAATATTTGAATGCCGTTTTTCAGTATACTGATGCAATCTAAAAATAGTTACTTTCTCACATAAGCTATTAAGCAGTAATTGTAAGAGTGCTGATTTAACTTCAAAATTCTCAGGGAATAATGCACACGAAAGTAGTTAAAATGACAGATAAAAATTGATACTTATTAAGGTAATTAAATTATAGCATAAATACTTTTACTTTATTAAATTTTTAATTTTTATGTTTGGGAAGATTGGATTATTTTTGGGATAAAATTGATGCTAAATGAAAGAAGATGACTAAAATATCAAAAAGAAAAGTAAAGCAAGAAATTTATCTAAAAATGCATCTATGGGTACTATCTTGCATAATCTTCCGTGGAAAGCACTTCATCTCTCATCCATACTACTGAAAGCACTTGTTTGTTAAACAAAGTAAGTTAGCAGTAATCCGAAAGGCAAATAAACTAAGTTAAAAGTAAGTTAGTATAAAACTTTACCCTCTTTACTATTGTAATAGCAGTACTTGTGTAAGTGAGAACATTTTCACAAGCACTCTCGAAACAATACTGAAATAGATTTCTATAATTAATTCTACCTCTCATTATCAGTCCGCTTAATTAAAATAATTAATTAAGTAACTAAATGAGTAGCAAATGCCGAAATAACTTCTCTTTTCTTCACTTGCGGAACTTTTTGCTTCCAAAAAATAATTAAAGTGAAATAATGCAAAATTATTCATAATTAAATGATACAAAAATTTTGCAGCAACCGTTAAATTTTTCCAATCTTAAAATTTTCAATTTTGCTAACAAAATTTTTGAGTAAACAATTAATAAGTAAAGAAATGTAATCTTTGCCTTTTTTCAGCAATTCAAACGACATAAAGAAAACTTAAATGAAAGTTAAGTTTTTGTTAAATTAGAATGAAATTAAAAATTTGCATAGTTAAAATTATCAATTTTAATTGATCAGAACTGTTATAGTAAGAAAATCGTCGATTTAAGCAGTTTGACTTTTTCAGTAAAAAGAATGGAGTTGAGAAAATAGGACTTGTGCAGTGATTAGTCATTCAAGTGCTGCTTTTTCTGAAGTTAAGACTTAAGCAATACTTACTTTTCTGCTTAACCTTTCAAAAAATTTTGGTTTTGAGAAAAATATATGCAGCAAACTTCAGGGACGGATAATTTGACTTCGGGCATAAATTTGACGTGGCTAAATACTGAGGGACGGATAACTCTCGACTAAACTACGTCGAGATAACAGGTGTTTCTATTTTTTACTCTTGAGAGCAAAGTTAATTGACTATATTTTTTTCTTCAAAATCATTACTTTGATTTTTTAGAAAGAATTTTATATAATAGAACTTTGTTTGTTTACAGCAATTACCAACAAAATTACTAAGTATTAAATGGAAAATGTAATCAAAGTAAATGCTTTTTTCGTAGCTAATAAATTATGCTTTTATGGAAAGTTTCTTCAGATTAATCTTTTTTTAGCCTGAAAAAACTTAATTTTTGCAACTTTTTTAAATCCTAAAATAAAATTTGTGCTTGATACAAATGTGATTTGAACTTTTTTAAGAAAGGTGACAGCCTAGGAAAGTTCAAATTATGTCACATTTTTATCATGCATTTTCAGCACTTAAAATACATACCTGATTGTATGTTATGTCAAATAAAAAAACTGCTTAAAGTTTGAAAAATTTTATGAATTTATTTTATTCAGTAGTACATTGTTTTAAGAGTAAGTAATAATATTTATTTTTCATTAATACTTTGTTATAATTTAGCAATTTTGACGTAAATATTAAATCATTCCGAAACATTTTTCAGTGAAAAAATTGCAAAAATTTTTTTCTTTTTTTAAAACTCTTTACAGAAAAAAATACATCAAGTGTTTTTATCTTAACATCTTAAGAATGAGAAGAAATTCTGTTGTTTTATTTTAACAAAATGAAAAAAATTAACTGAAAGATTAATTTCGAACTGAATTTCATTTCAGCATGAGACTCACGTTGATGAATACTATTCCAAAAAGCAGAATTTATCTTTAATGTACGTGAAAAAATATTTGATCCAATTCAACTCGTTTATTATGTTTGATTTGGATATCAAAAATTCCATCAAAAATTTTTGCTATTCACCATATTCACTGTAATAAAACTGTTCATTAGCAATGCAAACTATGCACAACGATTGCTATCCTTCTGTATTTTTATTACAGTCAATGCAAAAAAATGTGAAGCGCAATGATTTTACAACAAGCATTTTTTATCATATCAGAAATACTTTTTCAACTAAAATATGAAAAAATCACTTTCAACAATTTTCAGTTTTGTGTTTATCATTTTAGTTATTGAGTAAAAGGTATGATAATAAGTCAAATACTATGACAAATTAAGTAATTAAAAATGAGCGCAAAAATTTTTCATGAAAATAAATTCTTCGTTCTTGTGGTATATTTTTCAAAGCTGATTTATGAATGATTAAAGCCTAAAATTACTTTCATTAAACTTTCAAAACAATTTTTTGCTATGGTTTTAAATTTAACTAATTCTTATAAGTAAAATGTTTTTCAAATTTTTCACTATTTAAAAATCATTATCTTGCTAAGTGTTTGATTCATCAATTCATTTTTAGAAATAATAGTATAATTGTGAATTTAGACTAAAAAATAAAGTTAATACTATTATCTTAATTTCAAAAACTTATTTGACAATAAAAAAGTACATTCAATACCAAAATTTACTAATTATTTTTGCTATAAAACATGCATTTTTAAAAGATATTCAATTCTGCTTGCATTAATTTTAAGTCTGTCACACTCATTAAAACTATTATCAATACGAAAATTAATATTATATATTATGTCTAAATATATTTTATTTTATTTATGATAATAAAAGTATTTAGGCTGTTGTATTTCTTTTTTGATCAAATTTAAAATAATTTTTAAATGAACTGTGAATTTCTTTAGTTTTTTCCTAGCACATTATTTTGCTTACTATGCAAAACTTAAGATAATCTTATTCATTATTTTTATAAGTATTAGCATTATTTTTGGTTTTTTCTGCAAAATTTTTTAATATTTTTTATGAATTTGCGTGCTTCAAAAAGAACAAAATTACCGTAATCAGTCAGAATTTTTCTCACTAGTTGAGAGTGTGTGTTTCGTTTGTTGAATGTCACACTGTGCAGTGCCTAAATGTAATCTAAAATTAGTTCTTTTTTTTTTCTAAAAAAGAATAAAAATTTCTTTACTAATTTTACATATTTCAAACAAAATTTAATGTAATTACCAGCAAAAATGTCAAGAAAAAACGAAGAAAATGGCAGAATTTATAACAAAGAAAATGAGGCAAACACTATTATTCAACTTGAAATATTATCACAAATATTCACATATAATTAACGCAAAATTATTTTCAGCAATTATTTGTAAAAAAATTTTGTAAATAATAAAAATGGCCTTTAATTGACAAAAATTGTATTGTTTTACACATATAAGTTAAAAATGAATGATAATATTTATTAATATTTGTGATAGAATCATCCTCAAATACTGCCACAGTTTTGAAAATAATAGTTATAGTTTCATGCAATGTATTTAAAAAATATATTTATTGATATAAATTTTCTAAAATCTTACAGATTGTTTGTGTTGAATTGAATAGCTATAATGATTTGAATTTTTTTTTTGCTAAATTTTGAAATGATCAGAAATGCAATAAAAATGCAGGAATATTAATTAGATATGATTTTAATACTTTATCTTTATATTAGTTATAATAATAATAATGATGATAATAATAATAATAATGATAATAATAATAATAATAATAATAATCGTAATAATAAAATAATGATATTACTAATAATTGTTTATTGCAAGAAAATAAATTGAATTCAAACATTTGTAGTGATAACATGCAAAAATTCCTTTGCTGAAAGTGACAGAAATTGAAGTATATTCCGAATGATTTATATTATTAATATTGTTCAGAATGCAAGCGTTTAGACTTGAAATAAATGCGTTAAGATTATTTCATATGAAAAAGTCACTTCCGCAGGGCTAATCACGCAAAGCTGTGATGTGAATGTCAAGGAGAGAATTTAGAATTTTATAGTAAGTAAAAGTTAACTATTTATTGAGTAATTTGAGTAAAGCTATCAGAATTACTGGTTCAATTTCCAGAGGAGAGGGCACTTATTTTGGCATTAACTCATTTTTGGCTCCCTCAGGAAGGAACATTAGCCTTCGAACTCAATTAGCATCTCTTTAACATTACTTCCAGCATAGTCATACTTTCCTATTATTGCATTTTCATTGCTAAAATGCTGATTGTGACCAAATATTGGGACTTTTTTTCATAAATTGAACAGTTGCAAAAATATTAACTTCAAACGTTTAGCACTGGAAAACATGAGAACTGGAAAATAAATTATATAAAGAATGGAAGTGATAAAAAAGGTCAGCTATAAAAAGTCACTTTACGTGAGATGCAAATTTATATCCGTGATAAATAGCAAAGAATCGCTGCATAGCAATTCCTTGTTGTCTAACTTAGTTACAGTGCAGCTAGTAGTTAGTTAGTTACTTATAATGCGTAATATAAACGTTTGATTTCCATATACTAAATAATTAACTCCAAGAATTGATTAAAATCAATTTTTTTAAATATTATTAATATTGCTTGATTTAAAAGTTCTTGAAATGGAAAGTTTTGCAGAATCGGAGGAAATTATTAGTGACACATGAAGAGCCGCAGTATTCTCAGTTGAACACTCAAGGATCTCGACCTTATACATTATTCAAATCAATATATACTAATAATACAGATCGATCACAAGAATATTCTTTCAAGACTGAACGATCGACAGAAAGCTTATGCAGTGTTATCCGAGAACAAGGCTATGTGATCGGTGGCGAATGTGAACTTACACTTAAAACACCATGTTTGTTTGCTTTACTATAACTCTAAATAATAAATTCAAATTTCCCGACAATCTGTGTTTAAAAATCAAAATAGTTTTACGTCAATTAAGGATAATAAGTACTAAGTTTTGGCTATTTTCTATCGTTAAATTATTTATTTAATACTTATTTTATGATTCATTTTATAACACAAAAGTTATCCTTCATTTTTTAATCGAAAATTTCAAAAAGTATTGAAAAAATTTTTAATAAAATGAATTTGAATTTGAATATTCATTTATTCTACTAAATAACTTGCGGGAAATTTTACATGCTTTTAGATAGATCAAATCCATTTCCAGTGTTTACTATTTTACTCATTCATAAATTTTTAAATGAAGAGATCAAAATTAAGTCTTGTAGATTGGTATAATATGCAATTTTTTAACACTATAACATGGCATCAAGAATATTCAGATCAATTGCTCCAAAATAAAGAAATGATTTTCAGGGAATTTTTTATTCGTTTCGGTTCAAAATTACACATAGTTGTATGTTCTAAAAATATCTGAATAGATTTGTATTACTAATTTAAACTGTACTAATTTGATACAAAAATTGCTTTGATTTAAAGCTGATTATATAACTACTTGCAGAATTATAAATTTATCATAGATGGTGACACATTTTGTGGAAACTAAAATTCGCGTGTCATTATTATTAATAAGATTGTTGTGAGTAGCAATGATTACACTTTAAAATGAGGTCAAGTTGTACATTTAATCGAGAAACCGATTTATTTAATAAGAACTCCCGCTGTTCCGCGGAATATTTTATAAACACATATTCGACAGACTTCACGCTGAAACTTTCTTCGAAAATACTAGAAAGACTTCATGCTGACAAGTATGCATAGGGATCATTCGCAAGTAAAGCGAACGAAATAACTTACCAAACATTTTAAAAAACAAAATTTTTAAATAATTTATTCTTTCTAATCTTTATCTGCTTTTGGTCTCAGTAAAGATATTTTTGTATTAAAAAAATAAATAAAACTAGAATTTATCTTAATAAGACTATGCCTGAAGTAGTTAAGGTCACGAATTAATGACATTAGAATAATTTTAAAATTGACTTAAAAATTTGAATTTTATAGAAAATGAATTTCAACTTTATTTATTGTTTCATAAATTTAAAACGAGCTTATCACATTTGAAATTCATTTCTGTTGCTATAAAATTATAATAAATCTCTTAATTATGTAAATTATTACGAAAATTAATGAACTAAAATTCATAGAAACGATTTTATCAAAATAATTTTAGAATTTGGAATTGCATCAGCACATTTTTATTTTTCTTCAAAAATTTCTTATGCACATTTTGTGCATTTTAAAAGGAAATAAATATGGTGATTGATTATGTTTGTGATTTATGAAAATGTAAAAGGCGTCGTTTTTGTTTATGCATTTTAAGCTAAAAAAAGAAAAATAGGCATGTGTCTCATTATGCCTTAGGCAATTTCAGGCCCAATAATCGACATAAGCATTAGCTACTAAGCTGAGTGAGTGAGTATAAGTTGTTAGTATGTAGACAAATTTAGAAGAGTTTACTTCTTGAATGATTTACATTGAACCAAACAAAGGAGTGTAATAATGTTAACATTAAACAATACTCAGAAACTTTTAATTATTTCATTGCTTGCTAACAATGCAATCAATTTGCTTTCTATTTTTAGTATTAAGTAATTATAAAATATGCATTTAAATTTTTGCATCTTAAATCTATGAGTGGTAGAATAATTATTTACTTGAAGATTAATTACGACAATGACCTGCAACAATGTATTATGAGAAAATTTCAAAATTTGTCATGCAATTACTAAACTGAAAAATATTCAAATAATAAATGAATCTATGAAAATTTGCATTGCATCAAAATCTGAAATATTTGTAAATCGAAAAATAGTAAATCTGAACTAAAAAATAAATAATTTGATATTTATAATTCGTATACAAATTAGACAAAGTCATTCATAATTTATTTAGTATTATTTACAAACTTTTGAAATTGCAGAAGCTTTCATCTAATGCAGTAAAATGCAATTCTAACACTTTTAAACAATTTTCTAAAGTTTTTAATACTTTGCAAAAATAATCATATTTCGATGAACTTTTTTCTCTCTGATTACATATCAATATTGTCAGTTGAGAGCAATAATGAAGATAAAGTTTCAAAAATAAATTCAGATAAATGCACGAATAATAATACCTGCAAAGAAGATTACACAATTTTTGAATCTTTTCAAAAAATAAGAAGAAATTTTGATTTTGATTCTTTGATTCCATGTTATATCAGTTTCTCAAAAGAGTGTTTGAATTGCAATTCATTAAGCCATCATCATCTTTTTCTGATTCTTGTAATTGAATAGTTTGCAATATCATTTTAAATATCTTTTGAAAAAGTTAGCAATTAATATTCCAAATGACTATAATATAATGAGTAGTCACGATGTAGTTTTTATTTTGATTATCAGTGAAAGAAATGATTAAGGTGAGATAGCAGAGCTGAAGGCTGGTTTCAAGCGTGAAATGAATTTTAACAATGTAAATGAAAATACAAAATCTGAAGTGATGTCTTGGGCCGTGGATAGTACTGTTATTGTACCGCCACACTACAAAACTGAAGCTTCAATTATCATTGAAGAGATGAATTATCAGGGATCATACGTAATTGCTTCTGTACTTTCTGGATCAGTGACTATATCTATTCGAAGGTTTTTCATCTCAATTTTATGTTTAATTCAAGATATATTTTAAGAATTATTTTACTCAAATTTTTACACTGATAAAATAATAATTCAATAATTATTATACTCTTTAATTTTATTTTACAAAAAACTATTTTATTTTTATTTTTTGTATAGCAATAATAACGTTAAAATTAGTTTTAAATTATTTAACAGACTTTGAACTAAACTTGCAATTAGAATTTATTTTAATGTAATTTAGGATTATTTTGCGAGTTGTTTCACGAATTATTTCGTCATGAAGCTAAAAATAAGTTTAATTTCAGGAGAAAAGATGGAGCTTTAGTACTTCCAATAACAGTAAATATAGTCGAAGTATTCCGCGAGCATTTGGAATCACGACATGTTAGGAAGGAAGTGAAGGCATCAGCGATGGTTCAGGGCAATCAGTGTGTACGGATAACGTCTAAGGGAGTCTGCTCTTTCCAGGTTATTTTTGTTAATACATTAATCAAATACTTTTTATTCAAGTAACAAGTATCATCATTGCTTGCATTAATTGAAAGCAATCAGAAATAAGATATCAGTTAATTGTATTTAATTTGAGTTAGAATGAAACTTTTTTCACAATTCCGTTTTTAACTAAAAAATTAAGACTGATAATGACGGAAGTCTTTTATGCGTGATGAACAATTATTTATTTAATATTATTCACAAAAATAAAAAACAGTTTAAATCTTACATTTTGATGCAAAGTAGCGATAGAATGAGTATTGGTGCTTTGAAGTTCGCATAAACCTGTTCTTATACAAAATGTCTAGAAAAAAACGAAAAATTACTTTTGCAACTTGTTAGTTCTCATCTCAGAAATAACCTTCACGTAGAATTAAAATTTTTTCAAGTCAGAGGGAATCAAATTATTGCACAAATATTTGTTAATACATTGATATACAAACAAATCCTATTGAATTTAATACATTACTAATAATCAAAAATCAAGTATATAAAGACATAAAAATTAATATGATGCCCAAATTTAAGCACAAAATGATCTTTCAAGTTAAACATGAACAAATAAATTATAAAAAAGGCATCAACCTATTATTTATAAAAGCATTCAAATCGAAATCACATAATATTTGAGAATATAAATCATCTATAAACAATACATAAATGCAATATGATATCTGATAACTGATCATTCCGTGACAACTTTTAATAAGGGAAATATCTTCTGCTAAATTTATGCGCAAAAATTATTACTTCTAAGGTGCATCAATCAAACATACTTACTTACCGCTTTAATATTTTTTAGTAAGTAAAACAAATACCTTAAGTAGACCAAGACTTCTAGAAATATTTAATGTTCTTCAATATTTAATTTCACAGAATGTAATGAGCTTTAGTCTAACAAATATATTTCTTCCAGAACAATACTTCGAAAAAAAATGGAAATCTGTAAAATTCCTGCCAGAAAAATTGCTTGAGAATTTTTATAAAACCGAACAGTGTTAGTTCAGTTTGTTCAGATTAAGACTAAGATACTTAATCAAAGATATATTTTTCCATTTCATCGTATGTACTAAAAAGTTAATACAATGCTTCAGTTTGCGTTGAAGCAACGAATCGATCTCAAGGAGGAACCATTCGGCGATGAAGAAAAATTGATGGTCGACTGATCTGATCTTAGCATTTTTTGTGCATTTTACTTTTTCAAAAATTTATTGCAAATGACTTCCGTCATTTTGCGTTTAGAATCACACAGCGAAATCGTTACTTTTATTTCAAACCATTTCATACTTGTCCTCAATGAATGTGTAAACAAATAAAACATATTCAATAACAGCTGAAACCATAAATTTCCGGGCCTCACTCTTCACATTCGACCACATTTCAAAACAAACCAACCATAGAATTTTCGTAGCCTGCCTTGTAAAACAAAATGTCTTGTGAACAAAGAAACAGCCCACGTCATGAGTCACCAAATCTCATGACCCGATGATTCATTTGCCCCAGAATACCAATCCTAACCTTCTGTTTGACCAATGCTACCGCCATTTTAATAGCAGTATTATACAGTGCTCAATGGCTAAATTTCTGTCTCATTAACAAAATATATTTCAATGCAAAAAAAAATGGAAATTTTTAAAATTTCTTTTAGAAAAAATAATGCTTAAGAATCTTTATCAGAATTTTCGCAAAATCTAGCAGTACTAGTTCAATTCATTCTAATTAAGAAGACTGAATACTGTTAAATTTTAAGACTGATAAAATCCTTCAACAAATTGAATCTCTCAGCCTATTAATCAAAATTGATATGAATCAGATATCAATCCTGAGTGCCCTAGTTGCTTACAATTCCATTAATAATTAAGAATTCCTTAAATTTATTAAGCATCCATCAAGGTTAATCTTCATATGATTTGTACAAATATATACTTAAGCATTATTTGATTGTTAACATTCAAAATATATTAGTTCGTTTTGATCGAAACACTGCATATTGTCGATTATTATACAAGAAAAACAAATTTTAATCTGAAACCGAACTTTTTGTAGAGAGTAAACAAGTGACATTTAGCTGCAACTAAAATTAAGCATATCTGAGTTAATAATTAAAATTCAAGAAAATGCAAAAAGTAAATACAAGCACATATCTGATTTACAACAGTTGACAAATACTAGTTTACAGCAGTTGACAAATATAGTAAGCAATGATTATAAATTACGCTTAAGCTTATCAAGCAACGTACGCGTATAAGCCGTATTTTGACAAATTAAATTTGGTTCAATATGAAAAATAAAGACTTTAAAAATGAGAAATGAAAATTTTAGTCACAAAAAATTTTACAAAATATAAAACTTTTGAGACCAAAATGAATAATTCAAAAGGTTATAAAATTATTTGTGAATTTTTACATGGAAGTATCTTCCTCACATTCAAACTTAGTAAATCCTCTAACAGTTAATCTTCTGTCCTTCCTTGCATTACAGCATAATATGCCACAGATTACACTGACTGTGCATAGCAAAAATATTGAAATGGCAATAAAATTAGAAATTGACTGATTCGTTGATTGAATGGATGAATCTGCGACTGAAATCATAACTTGTTTAATAAAAATTATGCCTAATGCATTAATCTAAAGGATGACCACAGACGATTCCTAGTGCATGTACGATCCAAAATGTGTGGATGAATATGAATTCTAGAAGTATTATATCTAAATGATTATCAAATATTTTGTTTAATAAGCATTGCAAAAATTACTTTAAAAACAGCTTATTCTCTCAATTATTGCTTGTTGTGACAAAATAATATTCACAAATTTGCATATACTAAGTATATATTTTGATATTTAATATTATCAGTTAAAATTGTATTTTCCTAAAAATCAGTAGAATATCTTTCCAATTTTAACATTAATCAATTTTTAAGTAATAATATTAAATGTCAAAAACCTTTCATATAATTTACCTGATTCTGTGTTATTTACAAATATTATTTCGATAGATTATCGAAAAGTATGCAAAACACTAATGAAAACTAATATATAAAATTTATATGTAAAAATTATTCGATAGAATAGTAAGTGATAAAAACAGTGCATTAATTTATCTGCGCCAAATAGAAGATGACAAAATAATATTAACAAAATTTGCATATGAAAAGCAATTACTTTGGTGCTACTTATTCAGAATACCTTAGTAAGTGCTTATCAATCATCACGTTGCTTCTTTCTTTAAATTTTACTTTTTACATATTTCGGTACTGATTTAAATGAAATATCCTTTATCTACAAATATTATTCCTATAGATTATCGAAAAATATGAAAAACACTAAAATGAAAAGGACTGAAATAAATATTAAAACTGATTATTATTTACTAAATAATGTGTAAAGCAAATAATCAAATGCCGTCTGTCTATTTTATATACAAAATAAAAGAGGAAAAAGTGTTTATTATTCGAATTTTAAAATAGTAAGGAAAAGTAATCATTACTTACGTTCAGAATAATAATCAAATGAAACAACTCGGACGGAACAAATAAAATTAGCACTCAGCCAACAACTAACACTTCGCCAACTGTAATTACCACTAAGTTGCATTATTACACATTGTTGATAGAAGGACGAAGGTGGATAATGAAGTGATGGCTCAGCATCATCCCAATTCAAGAATGTCACTGGTGAAGAATCTATCCAAGCATATGGACCTGTCCAATTTTGTATTAATTAATTCTTAACTTCATATTTTTTCAAACTATATCCTTGAAACGAGATCTATTTTTTATAAGTATGCAAGATCTGTTTCTTTGTAATTATCATTTTTTAAAGCAAAATAATAAGAAATATAATAAAAAAACAAGAAACATAATATTTTAATTACATAGTTTCTTATTTTCTCGTAGTACATTACTTTTCTGATTATCTCAGTATACTATTACTGTCAATAACTTAATACCAGAAATAAGAATTTTTCAACTACCAAATACTTCTATCTTTTGTCCTTCTTGAAGTTATTATATAGACATTGCTAATAATAGTAACACTTGAACAATTCTATTTCTGAAATATGAATTCTTAAATATACCTCGTTCCCGCCGTACTAATCCAATGAGAGCATATGACGAGGACGTCTCATTGGATGTTATAATGGTTTTGAATAATTCAAAGTCTTTTCGTGTTTCGAAATTGGCCAAATTTGCATTGAAATACTTAAATAAAATCAAAAATTAAACAATATTTAATCAAAAAGAAAAAAGTTCTTACTTATCTGATAATACTTTCTCATACTTTGAAAAATATGCAAGCATTTAATTCTTTAAAACATAACACATTATTAAAATTATATATACTCTTAAATTATGAATCAAATGTCCATCCAAATTACAAGTGTGAATTTAACAACTATACCAAAATCACACAACTTCAAAATATATTCCTTAAATTAACTGCAAATTAGTCATCTCTAAAAAGTATACGTTTTCTGAAATGTTTTTGATTCAAAACTCTCTTCTAAATACGATATTTATGATTGTATTCTATTCTATTATAAATTTAAATTCAAATTTTTACTATAGATAGAAATCCAATAAACTAGAAATCTCATATTTCTTAAAAAAATTATCATAAAGTACAAGAATGCAGAAACATGCAAATTAGGATAAATAATGTATTTAAGTAAATTTATTCCTCTTTAAAGTCACTGCATTTTAGTGCTCATTGAATAGTGCACAAATTATTTCTCGGCTGAAGGAGTATTCTTTAAGCGTAAGTAATAGATGGCGCTGAACATTGATCCTCCCGATGTAACGTTTCCGGCTGCTGGTGGTAATGTCACAGTAAATATTATCAATTTATCAGACGGAAGACTTGGTTTTAAGGTTTTTTTACTCTCATATAAGAACCATCGTTCTCTATTTATCTTTTCATTTTTTGAAAATAACTTCTAGAAAAATAACTGCTTCTAAGACAGACTTAATATAACATATTGGTAGAAAAAATAAATCTAAGAAAGATTTGATCTCTTCTTGTATAAATTCAAACGTTTTCAGAGATTAACTAAGTTTCTGTTTTTATTTCATTTAAAATATTGAAAAAACTTTAAAAAGAATTGAAGTGACAAGAATAATGCAATATTTAGGTCAAGTCAACTAATAATGATCATTATCGTGTCACACCGGTTTATGGGTTTGTTCCAAAAAATGAAAAATCAGAACTGACAATTATTCGTTTGGAAGGACCACCAAGAGAAGATAAATTTGTAATTCAATGGGCAGAAGTTCCGGACGAAGAAGATGACCCACAGGCACCATTTAAGGCAGGGGCACAAGCTGGTGAAGTAATTCTACCAGTAAAAGCTGAATAATTTGTCATTGTGATAAACTAATAGCTAATAATCCTTAGCACAATAATATTTTTTTCAATTTCTAACTTGCATAAATTTGATTTATACTATCTCCTTCAACAATCACTATTACTGACTTAATTATTATGATAAAGACGCAATTATATTTAAAATTTTCGAAAAATTTTAAGAAACTATAATAAAAAAGTTCAAAGCGTGTGAAAAGACTTCAACAAATACCAGCATTTAATCCACCTGATTTGTGAAGTATATTTATGAGTACTTTATATTTGGGATTCAAAAAATTTTTTACATAAAACGAAGTATGCAGACACTTTTCTGCTTTCATCTTTATAGATGAACATTTAAATCTATTATATAAATTTAACTCACTTTGATGCAACTTTGATCTGCATTATAGCCCGAGCTAAGCATAGATTCATTATCTACTAAATGATAACAGTGTGTTTCTCCAAGAATCCAATCTTCTTTGCCATCTGGACATCGTTTAATTTGTGATCTTGCACTCATAAATTTATCTACAATTGCTCGTTATTATATTAAAACACTTTCTCAATTGAATAAAATCTTCAACATAACATGAAATAATATAAAATTTGTGATGCAAGCTATTAAATTTCAAACAAATTACCAACAAAAGTTTGTCTCATTCCTTCATATAAATAATGCAGTGTATTGTGAGGATTTTCGCATGACATTTGTATGAAAAGAAGCATGACGATTTAATTTGCAACAAAACCACTAATGTAAGTAAAAACATTATTGTTATACTTTGTTAAACATACCTTTAGACAGTTGACAGACTAATGGTTTTTTCTTCATACAATCATCCATGTACCAAGCTGGGCCATTTGTACCAATTCTAACCACCACACAATCGCCATTCCTCAAGTTAGGTTCACCGATTCCCCAAGGTGCAAATCGTATAAGTAATTCGTCGATTCGTTCAAATCTATCCGAACAAAAAATTACGAAAAAACTTTAGAACAAAAGCATTCAAATTTAATTTACACAAGGCTAGGATTAATCTTAAACTCCAAATTTAAGTTTTCGAACGATATTAACAAATAAGTGCAGATGAAGAGTATACATACTGTGATCTTCAGATTTAAAATGTGATCTGAAGTGAGTAAACAGTAATGCCACAGTGAAAACAAAAATATGCGAAAGATTAAGCAATTTCAGTCTAACTTTTTAGCTTCATTTAAGACTCAGAAAAAATCTATCTACTAGCTTTGCAAGACATTTTATCTAAATTCATTACATTTTCTGAAATAATGTAATGAAATCCTAACGAAGGATCAATTATCAGAATAATTATAAATGAAATCATAAAATAAAATCAGAGAATTCAGTTTTATGACATTTTTGTATGAAAACGGAACGGAAGTTCGTGTTGAAAAAAACAATGTGTTTACTGAAGGAGTCATCGGTCGAAATTTGATCTTATATATTCATATACCGGTTTTCTAATTGTATGAAAAAACGATTGTTTTCCTATAAATGAGAAATCCATTGAATTTACTAAATAATATATAAATGAGACAATTCAAAGCAAAAAATAGCACTAAAGAAGAAAGCAATAAGCTAATAACGGATTTTAAGTAATAGTTAACGATTTGCTTACAGTTAAATGCAAGTTAGATAAAGCTTTACCCAACTGATTTCCGATATCGAATACCAATAAAAAAATCGTCATAATTACTTTCCAGTGCTGCTGTTGTCAGAAATGACCAGTCAAACAAATTGTCCACTTGAGCAAGTCTCGAATATTTATTGCCGTAATTTGTATATTTTAGCACTAAATTAGCACATATAGCGGTAGCATCGGAAAAAGAGTAACGATCTTTCACTGAAATATTCGCATTTTTTACTGATCAAATTAGTATTTCTTTTTAGATAAAATTAATGAAACCCTTTAATTACACATATCTTTTCTCATCATCAAAAAGTCAACCTAGCATTTATTTTTCGCATAAAATGCATGAAAGACTAATTTTGCGTACAAGTTTTTTTATTTCACTTATATTAAATGATATCAGTTTTCCAACTATGTGAAGAATAAGATCAACGCATATAAATGATAGATTGGATTATAGGCTAAAAAATTAACCATGTTTATTCCCATCATTTGCTAGAAAGCAGTACAAGTAGTTGTCTCTATTGTTATGGCACACAGTCAATTGCTTGCTTGCAGTTGATACATATTCTGAAATGAAATATTTAAATATGTTTAATATATCCAATAAAAATTTATGTCCACTAAAGTTGACCTTTCATTCTTTTAGATAGTGACTAAAAAAGTTTAAGACTACATTCGACCTGCATAATTTTCGCATATATATGGAAGTTTTATTGATTGACACTGACTTGTATTACTAGATCGTTTTGCATTTTCTGATCCGTTTCCTAAAATCAAATGATCTGAATTAGAGCCAATAATCAAAATTTTGTCAAATTAGCACTTAAAATTTTTCCAAAAAACCTAAATCGAAATCACAAATGTTACTAAGTTTCTTGCGAAAGTAATTAGGGATGATATAAATATCAAAAAAGAATAAGACTACTTGTTTCACTGAATACAATATTCCAATATCCGATCATATCCGTGGTAGCATCAATGGCAACACAAGCCTAAAGTGTTACTCACCAAATATTGTTTGCTTACTTTATTGCTTGAGATTTGAAAAATGATAAACTTTTTAAAATTGTCAATGCAATTCATAGTTTTATGACATATATATCATCACCAGTTAGTCATTTAATAAACACTGTTTGCTAAGCTTTGTTGACTTTGGAACAGTAATGTCACTAACCTGAAGTATGTAATGATCATTTGCAACTGGAATTATTTTTCTATCGGAACGAAATTTGGTAAATTTAATAGGTTCATCATCAAGCCATCTTAAATGTCCATTGCTTAAATCCATCCCGATCCATGCATCACTGTTCAATCCTTGCAGCATTGATAAAACAAATCCTATTTATCAAAGATAAATATTTCCATTAAATGATGTCATTGAAATAAGAATAAAAATAAATGATTTTATTAGAGTAATCAATATGATCTGAGAGGTCAATATGTACAAGTATTATATTTTTTCAAGTCAGGAAAATATGAACTTCATTAAAAATGACGAAAATAAATGCTTGCCATTTTCATAACTATCACTAATGCTGGCCAAATTTGCTTTTTCATTTTTGCATTGCTGAAGAGCTTCTGCAAAAGTTAGACCCATATATGAAATTCCATTAACTTTATAACACATTCCTCCTAAAATGAGTGGATTTAAACTAGTGTGAAGTTTACTGTAGAAATATTTCGCTTAATATTTAAAATTTTCAATTTTTTTAAAAGAAAATAGCCTGAAAATAAATGTTTTCAATTTTCATGGATCCTTAATTTCAACTTCTACTTTATCAAAAATATATGGCTTGCTATTTAAAATTAGAAAATTATATTTGAATTGTAGTAATTTTCTTTCACATCAACTCACTTTAGATGATACAAGTTATTCCTTTTGACAATAAATGATATCACAATAAAAAACTAAAGTCCTTTCATTACAGATACTGCTATTCCATTAATTATTATTAATTTAAATATAAAATTCCCCAAACATTTGAAATTTAAATTTGAACTAAACTTTCAATGCAGTAAAAAAAATTGAAATTTTAACATTTTCCAATCATCATATTTTGCTAGATAATCAAAGTGATCATTTAATAAATATTTCAACGAAAAAATCGAAGTATTTGCTAAATTAAATTTCAATTTGATACAAAAATATGAATAAACGAACGGAATAATTTATATCCATTACTGCATTTCCAATCGCCAAACTTTGCCAAATACCTTTCACTTTTGGCTGATTTCTTATATTCAATTCGATAATCAAAACCCATCTTACTACAGATAGCCAAATGTTGACTGTTACATCTTTGGTGAATCCATGAATATTCTGCAACAATCACAATTCCTAAATGATATGGTAACACCATCATAATAAAGTTTTTTTTTAATTTTATACAAACCTGAAACATTTTTCGCTAATGAAGTTGCACCATCAGAAGCCTCATTTGAAGATTGTAAAAAAATTGAGTTTCTGCTGTAACACAAAAAAATAATTTTCCATAAATACAAAAGAAACTTACTTTCTAATCAAATTTTGTTTAATTTTAAATTTATTTTGCACAACCAATAATTCTCAAATTCGTTTTCCACAGATAATGTTTCTTCAAAACAAACTTTTATTAACGCTGAATAAAGCTAATACTGCATTCAGAACTATATTCTTAGAATTTAAAAGAGCTAAATTCATCTGAAAATGCAAAAATAACCTGAAGTTGAAGTTGATGGCAACACAAGCACCTAATTCATCTTCTGCGTTACCATTTTGCATCCGTTCTACCAGGTAGTCAAAGGAAGAATCATCTGACCATTCATACCGACTACAAAATTTTTAATTCCCAGTATGAATTCTAAGCATAATGTATCATCAAGTAAAACTAGTTATTTCAATTATTCAAATTATGGCAAATATAAACAGAAAATGTTATACAGTAACTAAAATTTTTTGCGTTCAATAAAATTACTAACAAAACAGCAAATATTGACTTGATTGTAGACTCATTCAGTAGTAATGGAAAAAGTTAAACAAACCTTTCAGAGTTCCTTTGATGCAATCCAATCCAGTACATCGTTTCACGATTCAATGATAATTGTAATTTTATCTGATGAATTCTTCGTCAATCAGATTGAAAATTTTTGAATATCACAAAAAAAAGAGTGATAACATTATCATGTACAATTTTTTGGCAAATTATAAATACAAAACATATGTTATGAAAAGTTGCAAATTGCTTAAGCAGAACTGACTTTAATTCATTACCTTAATTGAATTCACACATTTTATTTTGCACTATTAAAGACCATCTATTCTATTATATTGCAAAAGTTTATATCAAAGACAACATGAGAAAACATCAATTTTAATTTGTGCATAAAAATTGATGATAGCTCTAAAACTCAAAACAGAATTATGATTCAATAAATTAATTCCATAAATCATAAATTTTTAATCCGAAAAAATAAGTTCCTTAATCTGTATTGAAATTTAGGCTGAAAATTTTTTAGAAAGAAATAAGAATGACCATTTCATAGATATAATCTGCTTCTTGTTGAGAATGAATGGATGTAAGATCAGAGTGATAGTGTGCACTACATTCTTGAACTGCGTCAGTCCACGAACTGAGTTGATTATGTAAGCGATAACAAATCGTACCTTTGCCTGTTTTGAGTGGACAAGTAAACGGATCTTTACCACAAGGGACTAAAATTTGATTTCATTATTCAAATAATGAAAAAAAATTTTTGAAATCATGAAAATAAATTTGCATAATTTTGTATTAATGAAACACAAGTGAAAGCAATCATTTAGTACGCATCACCAAGAAAATTTCTTCAAAAGAATGCAAAAGATTTTAAAGATTTTACAAAGATTATATCTATGAAATGGTTATTTTTATTTCTTTCTAAATAATTCATGCAAAAACTATTGTTCCAAATTTCAATACAGGTGAAAGAACTTATTATGTCGTGATTTCTTTGGATTAAAAATTCTTTTGTCCGATAATTAGTACTAAAAAACTCACACTTTTCACTTAATTCATTCAGGTTATCTGTTGCAGTCGTAGTAAATTTGCTATCCTTTGATGAGTGCTAAAAATTAATAGTTTATTCGAAAAATTGTACTCATTTCCAGTTTTGAATTTGATTACGAATATTAAGCAGTTAATTATTAATCAAATACCTGTGAATTAGCAGATATTTGACAAATGAAACTTTGACGAATAGTACAGTCTAACACTTTGAATATTTCACTCATTTCATCTTCAGAATTTTTTCCTGCAATTTTTGCTTTCTAATTTTTATACAATATGAATACAATAATATATTTGCGTTAATATCTTTAGAAGCATAATTTTTGATTAATCAATCCCTCGAAATTAAACTAATTAAACTAACACATGTAATATGTTGTAGTACAGAAAATTTACAGTTCATTATTATTACTGTAATAAAAAATAAAATAAATTTACTGTTTTTTACCTTGATAAGAAATACAATAATGTCGCTTATTCTCCACACTATTTTTAGGCACACTTAATGTAATATTGACAATAGTGAGATTTTGATTATCAAAAAAACTCCCATCAGCCCATCTATAATAAACATAGTTTCTATTTACATAAATAGGTAAAGGAATGAATAGTTTATTTCAACGCAAGCACATATTTAAAAGTTGCAAAAAAACATTTATGAATAAAATGAATGGCAATTTATTTTTATAAACTGTGCACAAATTACTATTATGACAATTTTGCATACATTTACACACAATCTCAGAAACAAGTAATTTAAGTATTTAGATGATATGCCTTTGCGTTAAAGCTTATCAAAAATTACTCTTTATTAGAGTAGACAACTTTTTTAACTAACTTATCAAGACTTATTATATTGTCACATTACCATAACAATCAATTAAAAAAAGAGTAAATTACTAGCAAGAAAACCTGAGATTTAATGTTTGATGATTTAAGTTATTAGGACATAATTGTCCTAATCCAATCCACCAAGCAGTACCACGCCAATAATGGTCCTTCAAATGCAACCAGCTGATTATGCTTAATCAACTGTTTTTAATAAATTTGGATAAATCTATAGAGAGAAAATTACTTCCATACTCAGCTACTGGCATCATAAGTTAATATATAAAATGTGATAAATAAATCGACCTGCCATTGCTATTTGTAATTAATTCAATTAAAAAATTCAGCAAAAAGAGTAAAAACTTCAAATGAACAACTTGAGATGCCAGCCAGTCAAGTTGTTGTACAGATTGGATGGATAACAAATGTGCATTGCTTCCGCTCAGTTGACAAGTTTGTTCCGCTTCTTGCCAGGTCATTTCAAGTAGTGCGAATCTTTTCAAACAAAGACTATATCCATCGGTCGTACGAGATGTATATGGCATCCAACCATAAGGACATACCAATCTGCCATCTAAAAATAAAATCACAATATATTTAATAATCATAATCCAGCCTTAGTAATAGGAGTAAATCTTGACTGCATACGTTAGCTTTGCACCGAGACTAACTAGATTTAGCACTGTATTTTATTAGATAATCCAGTCACAAGTTTAAACTTATATGAGTCTTTCTCAATCTCATCAGTATATATTATTAAAATGTACAAGTATTTTAAACTAAAAACTAAAACACAAATCCACAAAATCTCTATTTCTCACAACTTATCAAATTTGCATCTATCAAGAGGCAATGAATGAATGAATGATTACTTTCTAGTCTTGTTTCCACTTTTATATTGTTGCCATTTTCATGCCCTTCATGGTATGATAAGGGAAAAAAAGCCAAAAACAGCAGAAATATCAAATACATATTTAAAATGGCGCAGTTTGATCAAATAATTGACTTATCGAATAATGATAAAATTACGCAAATACCAGTTATTCAGCCAGTCGATCAATCAGTCATCTAAATACTAATCAAAACATGTATTATCAATTAATGTATTAATAATCAAGAACATTCCGTATAATGATCACATTTCTTTAACACCTATATTGTTACTTTTCGATTATACTTTTAGGATGCAATCACATACAGACACTTTGAACAATTTATTTGAATATTCTTAACAAATTTCAAATTAAAGAAGAAAGAAAATATCGTATGATTCAAGTAGTAATGAGAAATGTAGAATAGAATCATTGTTCTGTTTTGGATTATAAAAAAAGAATTATTCATGGTAATAAAAGAATAAAAATATCGTTAAGATTTGAATTATTAAAGGTTAAAATGAATGATCATTGCTAGATTCCTTGAATGAACTTAACAAAACTAATGCATGTGATGTGTTCATGCCTTGATGGTCAGTGATAACAAATTTATTTATTATGATAAGAGAGAAGCAATTCACATGCAAGTCAAAAAAAAAATAAACAAATTGCATTTACTGTTTGTATAGAAAAGCTGTAGTGAAAAAATACTAAGTTAAATTATGACATTTAATCGTATATTATTACTATCATTTTTATTGTTTCTTATTATTTATTGCCATTATTCATTACTATCACTCATTATTACTTATTACCATTATTTATCAATAATATGATTATTATCACTATTGTTATTATTATTGTGAATGAGAGGAAATGAAAGCCTAAAACGTATCAATTTACATGCACTGATTGCAATAATTCTTCAAAAAATGCCATACTCCATTTTTTCCCTTGAATTTTTTTGTTTTCTCACTGCCAGTGTATTTATTATCATCACTTCAACAAAATCTTCAACGCTTCACAATTTACTTTAAAAAGTAAACGAATCCCTCCATAACTACTCTTATTTTGATAATAAAAGACTGACTGAGTGACCTATCACAAACTAACTCATTCTTCTGTTACATTTGCAAGAAAAACACACAAAATTAATATAATAACTGCACTATTTTTTATCCTAGAATGATAAAATCGTCAAAATATCTTTAATCAAACTAAATCTTATAATTTTTTTTCACCAAAATCGCGCAATTTGTGGATAAAACTTATCAATTCAGTAATTAATTTATCACACTAGATAAGCAGTCGAGCTGTGACCATATGGAATTATAAAGCAATCTCGACAAAGTCAAAGTAAGTCTGAAAAATTAAGTAATTTTGGATTCATTGCTAAAACTTTATATACTTATATCACTTAAACCACACTACTACAACTTGTCGCTTCTTGATATCGTTATATGCAGTGAATACTTAATTCGCCCTTAATTCATTTATGCATTAGTTACATTCTGCAAGAGTGATAAGCTTTTGATACTTAAACGGTATTATTTTGCGCCTAGAGTGAAGACGGACAAAATAAGTAACTTTACCTGCGTAAGAGTAAGAGAATTTATATTATCAAGTTATGACTTGACAATATTGTCGCAACTAAAAGCAGAAGTGATTGAACAAAAGTAATCGTTTCAAATATGCAAAGTGAAGAATATTTATGAATACTTTTGCTTGAAATTGGCTGCTGCTATACACATGAACGAACCGCTTGTGAGATGCAAGAATTTTGTGCATTAGAAGTTAGAAAGTAGTCTCACATCGGTATTAGAAGTCAGAAAGTGTTCTCACATCTTTCTCTACGTGTTTATCAACCCAATCTTGAAAATATTACATTTTTATTTCAATGAGTCATATGAGAAATGTAACAGATCTGATAACGATGGTAAAACACTTCTGAATTGATGAGAACTTTCTTGGTTTTCACCAGCAACTTGGTAGATTCAGAAGAATCGTGAAAGTAAGTTGTTGAATTTCTTTCAATTATATTTATTTGCAAGTCATTAAATTCAAAACAATACAAATTAGTATTTTGAGACCTCTTGACATATTTATGCTTAATAATAGCAAAAATAAATATTAAAGCTCATTTTTTCGAGATGTATTGGTAAGTACTGAAATGTGTGAAATTTATAAACTATCATTTCTCAAAAATTGGAAGAAAAATTATTGCAATATTGTGTTGTTTGACTATAAAGATGCATGCAAGTGCAACTTTAAGTAATTTATGCCATTAGTGACTATTCTAGTTATCAAATTTATAAATTTTAGAGCGCTGACTTTTCAACTTTTCAAGTTATTATGATTGAACTTTGCATATTTCCATCCAAATGTATTAGTCAGCGATAAAATTATTTACAATTTAAGATTAAATAATAGCTTTTTTAGGGTTCATTCTATGAATAAAAGACGAAGCGAATAAATCAGAAACGCACTTTGACTTAAACAAAGCAAAATATTCATTTCTTCTTTCAATATTATGACTGTTAAAAACTGAATAACTACTGGCTGAATAACTGAATTTCATTCGTTCAATATTATGACTGATAAAAATATGGTTGAACAACTGAGTAAAAATCCGATCAACATTTGGAAAGTAACGAGAGGCCTCGAGGAGCCTGACTCCTGTCTAGACTACAGTCGGTAGTCGGACTTACGCGACCTCAATAGTTTTACTCAAATGAAAGTTACATCTGTGCTTCATAGCCATAAATTTTTCACTCTAAAAATTCTTTAAACACAATAAAACTGTACAGAGGAAGCAGGCTTACATTGCCATCTGTTGATGCAAAAAGCTAAGATTTAGTTTCTTTCTTCTTGACAGAGTCAGAAATCGCTTTGTGTCTCAAATTCAAGGCGGCTGAACAAAATTATTCGCAATACAGTACTAAATGTTTCTTATTTATTTCCACTATCATTGTTCACATTGGCTTTGCTTTTCACCTACCTCATTTCAATATCTCCTCATTTCAATGTCTGAAAATTTTAAATTTAAAAACACAAGTAACACTATTTTACCAAGGGAAAAATTGATTTTAAATTGAAGTATTACAAAAAAGAAGAAAGTAATATTGATTTTGAGTTAAAGTAATTATTAACTTTTAATGATTTTCTAAAGCTATATTTTTGATTTATAAGCATATTTAAATTTACATAATATGAATGAAATTCATAAAGCACTGTTAAACTGGTGTATAGAAAGAAGATAGAAAAATTTTATTTATTAATCACAAATAAGAATTTGCAATGACAGAAAAAAGCTTGTTTTGCACCATAAAACTTTTGTTTATTTTTGTACTTCTTTTTCCCTCCTTTTTTCAAATCAATTCTTATTTCAATTGTTATATTCCATATGGAAATGCATTCAGTGCTTACTTACGCATAAGTATTACTTTCTGTTAAGCGACTATAACGATCAGTTTGTGTGTTATATTGAAATAAAGTACGTTCTTTAATTTGCACAGAAAATAATTGCAATTCATCACTGAGTATATTATGAATTTTGATAAATTTTTAATGCAAATATATTGCAAGAGTTCGTTTTTAATCATACAGTATACTAACTATAATTCACTTCAAATCATAAAAGTAAAGTAATTACACAATATGACCCTTACCTTAATAACAGTCTAAGCAAAATTCACTGCTTAAAGTAGCTAAAAGGGGGTGAGGACATGATAAGCACAGCAGTTGCCTTGTAAGCACAATACAGGTATTCCCGGTGCCAAAAATTGACATGACTTTGAAGTTTTGCATTGCAAACCGATTACTTCGCCACCATATGGACATTTCTGAGGTACCTGAACATACTAAATTCAGAAATTTTCCATGTTCACAAACTTCATATCTTAGTCTTTGAAACAAAATATTTTGCATTTCAACGAACAAATTCTTCCTAATTTTACGTCTCACTCATTTGATTTTGCTTTTACTTCCACTTATAAAGTTTTATACTTCCTTTAAATGGGCTTTATTGCTTATGGAAGTTATTAATCTTAGAGTTATAATGTTCAATTGATAAATAGTTCGTATACTTACAGTACAACACAGTTTTTGTAGACAAGCAACTTTTTCCTTAGACGGTAAACAGTCAGTAGATCTCGAACATGTTTTACCAGTATGAGAACCGTTATTAGAACAAGGAATAGTACAACATTCTGATTCAATGCAGGCAACGCGATCTGTGCTCCTCGCTTTGTAGGGTTCGCATTGGGAATCTGATGTACACGCATGCGCAACCCATTCTCCACCATTTTTGCACAAATTCCTTCCAGATAAAACAGTAACTAAGCTTAATATATTTAATAATAAGTACATCATTTCCATAATATCTGCAAATATTATTTGTGGCAATCATTAAGTAAATTAAATGTTTACTGCGCAGTACATTGAGTGAAACGTAAAATCTGATAAATTTCACGTCTCACTTTTAAGTATTTACTACACATTTTTAGCAGTAATTACATTTATTATTTAACTGATTATTATGCATCCTTCCATTTAAAAGTTTTGGGAAATTGGCAAGCATGACAAAATGAAGGAGAATTCTTGAAAGAAATTTTGCCAACTTTTTTCATAAATTCTGCAAAACTTTCACATTATTTCAGTTCTAAAAAGTATTTGCAATTTTAATAAAATACAACTAAGCAACTTTTACGATTACTACAAATAATATCTATGTGTAAAAGTTTAGTATTTACTACACATTTAATGTAACTAATTTTTGTGAAACTGATTATCTAAATAGTTGTAAACGAGCAATATGCAAGCTTTCGTCTATCAAAATTTTCAGAATAAGTTAATGATTGCATATTTTTGCAGAGACTCAATATTGAGTACTGCAGTTTTTTTAATCACAATTTCCATCGAAAATTTTTGCAACCTTTTTTACTATACAAATTTATGTGTAAAATTATTAGTTTAAATGTACAGTATGACATAAATTGATTGCGTGTATACTAAGTTTTTGGAGATACAATATCAAAAGTATTAAAGAAAATGAAATAAAATTAGATCAGAAAAGAGAGCAAGCATGAAGTTGAATTAGTCAATTATCACTTACAGCACGTACTATTGAATTTAGAGTGAAA